CAAACAAACAAACAAACAAAACCAAAAACAAACGAAAATCGAATCCGTTTATTAACAAAATGACATATTAAAATAATAAACGCCACCGCCGCTATTTTTTTTTTTTTTTATTTCAAAATAATTTTTCCGGAAATGAATTTTTCCAAAACAAACAACAATCATAATTTTTCTTTTTTTTTTTTTTTTTTTTTTTTTGTTTATGCAATCATTAACAAAATTTGTTTAAACAAAGAACCGTGAAGAGAGAGAGAGAGAGAGAGAGAGAGAGAGAGAAACTACTTCCGAACATTAAAAATAATTTTTTTTTTTTTTTTTTACTCCCTCTCGAATGGGAATTTTTTTTTTTTTTTTCAAAAAAAAAAAATTGATGGTTAGTTTAGACGTGGCGTGAATAACACCCGCGAGTACTAACAAAAAATAAATAAAAAAAAAACAACCATAATAATAATAATAATGAATAATAAAATGAAATCAACGTGGAAAAAGAAAAAGAAAGAAAGAAAGAAAGAAAGATCCCTTTCAACAACAACAAAAAAATCCTCGTCGTTTAGTTTAGTTTAGTTTAGGTTTTGAAATGTTGAAAGCCCCCCACCCCACCCCCCACATCCCCAATTAGAATATTAATAATCAAATGAACGTAGTTTATAATGTTAAGTAAACCAAATATTACCCTAAACTCTTGACGTGATAATTATAGGTTACGAATACTTATTACAATTATTATTTTTACGTGTGTTTAACGAAACCAAAAGAAAACCCTATTTAATCATTTGATTTTAATGGGCGTCGAAGGTCATTTTATAATTCCTTATTTCCTTTCTTTTCCTTTCTTTTTACTTTTAATACTTTTAGGAAAACATAAATTTTTCACGTTTTATTTATTTAATTTTTTTTTTGTTTTTTTTTTTTTTTGTAAAAACTTGTCAGTTTGATTTTCTTCCGTTCCCCCTCTCGCCCCTCCCAAAACACGCGCCCCCGCCCCGCCCCCCAAGAACCGTAAACAAGCAGAAGAAGAAAAAAAAAATGAGGTAGAAAAAATTTAATTTTTTTTGCGATCGCAAATTATTTCGTTTCCGTTTCCGTCAATTTTCTTTTCAATACTACCACCCTTACAAAAAAAAAGGAAAAAGGGAAGCAGGGGTGTAGAAAAAAGGTTTATTTACACCGGGTATTAAAATAATTTGTCTATTTTTTTCTCAGTGGCTATTAATCAATCGAGATGCTGGAGGCTGCTGGAACGCCTACTTTACAAAAATAATTACCAATATTACGGAGTCATTATTCGGGTGGTCCATCATCATCATCATCATCATCGTATTTTCTGTCGTCGTCGTTAAAGTTTACGACAAACAATCAAACAAACACACCAACAAACAAACAAACAAATGGACAAACAAGCGAACGAACGAACGAACGAAAAAAAAAAAACAAAAATAATTTTCTTTTTTAAAATAAATTTTATTCTTTCAAACGACGAAATTTTCACAGTTTTGCCAACACATAAAAAAAAAAAACGTCGTTTAATTAATTAATAATAATTAAATTTAAAATACGAATAAATAAATAAATAAAAAAAGGATTCGAAAAACAAGAAATGGTTCCATCCGCACCATCAACCATTTTTTTTTTTTTTTTATTAATTGGTTAAAACGCCGTCGAGCTTTCACCAACCGAAAAATATTTAATGACGGTTATTTTATCGGTACGTTTCCCCCCCCCCCCATCTCCCATCACACTCGCGACGACCCCCGTTTAAGTGAAATTCTTTAGTTAAAATTTATAAAGCCATTTCAACGACAAAGAATATTTTTTTTAAAGAAGAAGAAGAATGTTTTTTAAAACAATTTTTTTTGTCTTTTCTTCTCCTTCTTCTCATGTTTCATCGAATAAATTATAACGTTAATGGATGATGTTATAAGAAGAACTTTAAGTTTAGTCTATCTTTTTCAACGGGGGGTAGAGAGACATTCACCCTGAAGGTAATTTTATAATTTTTTTTTTTTCTTTTCCTTACAGGCCAGACTTGTCATGCCATATTTAAATTGATTACCTCCGCGCTACGATTTCATAATGAAAAAAAAAAATGTACCGAATTTTGTTTTGTTTAATAAAAATAGTTCGATTTGAAAGGACGTAGCAGACGATGGACAACAATTACTCTATGAAATTTTCAGGAAACATATTTTCCTTTCTCTCTCTCTCTCTTAATTACAAAAGGAAAAAAAATTTTTTTTCAATTTTCATTTATCCACATCCATCAATTTTTGAAATACCTGAGAGGTAGCCGGATAAAAAACAAATTAAGTGACGTCACAAGTCTGAAACGTTGTATCAAACGATATTTCATATATATATGTATATGTATATATACCTGACATTTGAACCTTTATTTTATGGGTCATAAGTTGGTGGATAAAACAAACAGTGGAGCGACCCCTGGGGGAGGGCCAGCCAATTATACGCGTCCTGCTGTGGTCCGACTCCGCACTGGCGGGTTCGTGAGGTGTTTTTCAACCGTGCATAATCCGAGTCGGATTATTTCACAATTATTTTAATTTAAATTTAAATTTAAATTTTTTTTTCAATCCCCGTCAGGGAGGGGGGTAGAACAAAACCTTTTTTTTCCTTTCTTTCAATTAACCTTTCAACCTTTCCACCCACATGCACACACGCACGCACAAATAAATCCGACGAGAAAATTAAAAAAAAAAAAAATTTTAACGAAATGTAGGCAAAACAATATTGTGCAGTTTTTTTTTTTTTTTAATTTTTCTCGTGAAATATTTTTCTAAATATTTCTTACGTACGCACGCACGCACGCACGCACGAACGAACGCACAAACATGTAAAAAAAAAAAAAATTCATCTGATGGGTTTTACGATGCGTTATTTCTTATCAGATACAACGTCTTTTTTGTTTTTTCTAATTGAATTATTACTCTCCCCTCCTCTCACTTCCCCTTCCCTTCCCCTCCTCGGTCGAGCGAGCTATCGATCGATCGATCGATCGATCCATCGATTCATTTACGTTTTTTGCCCTTATCACAAAATTATTTTTGTCGTGTATACGCATTTAAATAACATTAAAAACGAAAAATCCCTCCTCCCCTCTCCCCCGCAGAAAAAAAAAATTGTGCGTGCGTGCGTGAAGCTCAAACCAATAACAATAATAATAATAATAATAATAATAATAATAATAATAATAATATTTTGTTAAATAAAAAAGAAAACGCTTGAATAAACTTATAATTCATTTCGATGGAATAATAATAAAATCTGACTAAAATGTCAAGAACTTGTTTGTTTTTTTTCTTTTTTTTCTTTTCCCCCCTATTAAAAACATAATAATAATAATAGTAATAGTAATAATAATAATAATAATAATAATAATAATAATAATAATAATAATTTTCATAGTTTAATTTTCAAAACGTTTTGATCCCTTTTTATTATTTTATTTTATTTTATTTCTTTGGCGCCACATAATCAAAAAAAAAAATCAAATCATTGATTTATTTCATAATTTTTTAATATGAGTAAAAACAACGTAACACCCACGTCAAAAAATGTCCATAAATAAATAAATAAATAAAAAGTTAAAAAATAATTAAACAAAAAAAAAAAAAAAAAAAAGAATCCCAATAGCGCAACAAGACAAAGTAAAAAAAAACAAAATTTAAAACCCAAAACATAATAATACAACATTACAACACGAACACGAAACGAACTCGATTTAAATAAATGATTATGATGATGATAATAATAATAATAATAAACTCAAATTTTCATTAAAAAAAAAAAAAGAGAGAGAGTTAGTGGTCGTGTGCAATGCATACGCCGCCATTTGTCTTTTCCAAACCCCCCCCCCCAAGTAAACTTTTACGAAGCGTTTTGGAAAAACTTACGGGGATGGTGCAAAGAGTAAAATTTTTTTTTTTTTTTTTTTGAATTCCGGAAGTTTGACCTCAAGTAAACGACTATCGATCGATCGATCGATCAATCGATCAATCAATCAATCACGCCGCGAGAACGAATGTACTTTTTCTTTTCTTTCTTTCTTACTCTCCTGACCAAACTCGAACCTTCGGAAGTCTGCGAGTGGATAATCGCCTTTTGAAACGATTTAAAATTCTTTTGACGTTTTTCATCGACATCAAAGACGCCGAAAAAGGAAAAAGGGGGGAGGGGAAAAAAGATGGTAAATAATTAAATACCTTAAATGATTTACCAATAATTGATTTATCCTTTGACCCCGATTTGACCCCGACGAGAAAAACAAAAAAAAAAATTAATTCCGTCTTTATTTAATGTTAAAAAACATTCCTATAAGAGGGGTAGCCGGGGGAGGCAGAGAGAGAGGGAGGAAAATCGATATTGATTTCCATCGATCGATTTAACATATTCATAATAATAATAATAATAATAATAATAATAATAATAATAATTTTATAATTATTTCCATTCAAGCAAGATCTTCGTCGAATTTAATTTATTAAAAGAAAAAAAAAACACGAATCCCCCCCATCAATCCCCCCAATTTTCATCAATTAAAAATTTAATAAATAAATCTCTTCTCGTCCGGAATAAAATGGCCGACGGTCGCAAACTCATCAACGGAAAATTATTTATTATTATTATTATTATTATTAGAAAATTAATTTTTTCGTAAAAAAAAAAAAAAATAAAAGCGACGAATGAATGAATTACTTACGATGAGTATCAATAATAATAATTAATTAAAATAATTAAAGACCGCGAAAAGACGTGCGTGGGATAAAAGTGAGAAAGAGAGAGATGGAAAACTCGTAACAGGTTGAAAAACAGCCAAAGGCGAGACAGAGAGAGAAAAAAATCAATTTTCAATCAAAATAATAACGTTAATCGAATTTTACTAATCACGTCGTTATCACTTACAAAAAAAAAATGTGCGCGCCAACATAAAAAAACATTAATAAATAATAAAAGTCTATTAAAAAAGAAAGGCGTGTTTATGTTTATGTTTATGTTTTTAAAATCCAACGAGTGTTATATATACGTCTATCTACTCGTAATATTTTAAAGACTTGGGATCGTAAATTATCTTAGATGGGGGGAGGGGGGAAATTGAAATTAATTATAAGTAGTCGCGTGATTGATAATGAAACACTCTCGCAACTCGAAATTTTACAGATAATAATAATAATAATAATGATAAAACTTACCTTTTAGTATTTTGGAATCGATCGAAATAAAAGCGATAAAATAAAATAAAAAATAAATTAATAAACTCACCTCCGTGTTGATTTTTTTATATTCTTCGTCGTCTTCGTCAACTTCAAAATACAATTCCATCGTCGTGATGGACACGACACCCGGAGCAACGATACCGGGTGCTATCAATTTCGCTTTCGTGCTTATATTTACCGGACCTGAAAAAAATTTTTTTTTTTATCGAGAGATAAACAAACGGAAAAAGAAGGTTTAAGACATAGAGTGCAACCGAAAACTCACCAGCCAGATCGGCATCCAAATCTCTATCGTCGGTTAAAAGTTCGCTGTCGTCCATCAAATCCGAGGATTGTATGTGCTGTTGCTGCGAGCGAGAAGCGGCAAGTTGAGCGTGAAATTCTTCACGGGCCTGTAGGATTGCATCCTCTGGAGCACCGTGTTCGAGCGCGGCTTTCAACGTCGCTTCGGGATGACTCGAACCGAGAGGATTGTGAACAAAACGTTTTCGTCGTCTCGCATCGTCTTCCCACGCATCCAATTTCCAAAACTCTACACTTCTGTAATGACAGTAATGATATTAGTAAAAACAATAATAGTAATAATCATAAGTGTATCGTCAAAAAAGAGGCATGTTAGTTACTTCGTGACGTGTGAATCCATGCAACCCCACGCTCCGTATTTATTACTCATAATGTTTTTAATTTTTTCTAAAAGTCTCGATGCGATTACGTTGTCCCGTCTTCTCGCAGCCGTTATCAAATGGTCGCACATCCTTTCTTCTTCTCTCCTTTCGAGAAGTGTTTGAGCGCATTGGGTTTCAAAATCGGCATGTTTGAGAACGTCGTCGGCTCTCATTCGGTTCAATATGAATTCGGCTTCGTTGGCAACTCGAACTATGTGATCTTTCATGGCGTGGGACAAAAGTCTACCCTCGTTGATCAATTCAATGAAAGCCAAACCCGCGTGTTTTTGAAGGGAATTTTGCCATTCTTGCGAGCACAAAAGCATGACCAATTCGACGACGCTCGTGCTGTTTTTAAAAGTGGTCAAACCTAAAAAATTTTTTCATATGGCTTTATTCGGGGGGGTGCTACGGAGGATTCTCTCGAAGGAAAAGAATCACCTTACCCTTTCCTTCCATTAATAATTCTTGACCGTGAGAACCGACCAACGTTTTCGATAGAAACGATGCGAAATCGATCATTATTTCTCTTAGTAGAGGGCAAACGGAACCCAAAGCCGTTTCTAATTTTTGCGTCAATGATGCTTCTCTTGACGGTGTGGGAATGGGAAGATGATCGACCAAATTCTATGCAAAAATTTTATGATTTTCGTGGGGGGAAAAAAAAAAAAAAATTCGACGGTTTCCAAATAAAATATATTTTTACCTTGATGGCTAAATCTTCCGGACTCGAGGTGGAATGTGAGGAATGATATTCGCTCGGTATTCGAACGACCGAAATTTCCTGTTTTGGTTTTTCTCCTCTTTCGTTAACGACTCCTTGCATATTTCCATCCATGTTGTCCATTCCGTGCACGTGATTCAAAGACATGTTTTTCACATTTTTATTATTTACATCTCCATCGTCGTTTAAATTAACGTCCGTCCACGTGTCTTCATTCCCCGATTTTTTCCCACTCCCGTTTTCCATATTCGATTCCATATCTGAATTCCTTTCGATTTCGACTCTCGTCGATGAAGAAGAACAACCTCTTGACTCTTCCCCAATGTCTTCTCCATTCTGCGAGTGAAAATTTATAAAAAAAATATACGAATCATTATCGCGACACTTCTTCACCAAAAAATTTAAAGAAAAGAAATTTTAAAAAAAAGTAAAAAGTAAAATGGCGGCCGAGGGTTTTAGGGTTTCAGGGTCGGAACAATCTCGCTTTTTACGAAATAACTAATTCCTAATAATAATAATAATAATAATAATAATAATAATAATAATAATAATAATAATAATAAGTTTTTTTTAAACGTACAAAAAAGCGAATTATCAGCAACAAAAAACAAAAAAAAAAGCAACGACATGTTCGGATTGATTGATTGAGGATGACAAAAAATTTCATGCTAGGTATAAAAAAAAAAAAAAGTAAAAAATCTTTTCGAAAAACTGGGGGGGGGGGGAAGGGGCGAGGGACGAAAAAAAAGCAGTTACAAAAAAAAAATAAAAAAAAAAAAAGTACCTTTAGAAAAGAATTGACGCGATCTGTTTGGGAAATGGGCCTCAAACTTGATTCCATTTCGTAACAACCGTGATTAATTGCAGACGATCTTTGCCTATTACAAGGCAATTGCTACCAATATTAAAGAGTTAATGTTTTTTTTTAATGTTAACGAGAGGGAGAGAGAAATATAGATAGATAGATAGAGAGAAAGAGAGAGATGAAAAACCTTAAAAATATTCAATCAAATCTTACCCGAATCGATGATGGACCGTTTGTTGCTGCGGGAGCGTTTGTTTCGTGATCAGCTAATACCGACGGATTATTTTCACCGACGACAATGACTTCGTATTCGCTTTCTTCTTCGCAACCCCCCAGTTTGTTGGCGTTTGTAACTGAAAACAAACAAACTTTCATTTAAAAAAAAAAAAAACAAACATAACGTATATATATAAAAAACAAACAAACTAAAAAAAAAATTACAAAAATTATTAATTTTTTCACTTTTTTTTAAAAAAATGAAAGCAATCAAAAGCATGCAGTGGAATAAGACAAAACTTTTATTATTATTATCATCTTTTTTTTGGCTTTATTAAAATATTAATAATAATAATAAAAAAAAAAGAAAGCTCAATAATAAAGTAAAAAAATTATCTATGGATAAACAAAAAAAAACTTCACTACTACCTTCTTTTTTTTCTCTCTCTCTCTCTTTCTCTCTCTCATTCTCATTCTAAAGGAAGACAGAAAAGAAGAAAAAAAACAAAAAAAAAAACGAAAAAAAAAATGTTTTTCCAATCAGTGGTCCTTTTTAAATCGTGCAAACAACAAAAAAAAGAAAAAGAAGAAAAAAACTAAAAAAAAAAACAAAACGAAAAAGAATAAACAGCAGAAGAAAAAAAATTATTCTTCATGTATGAATGTTGTGTTTTTATTTTTTTCTTTTTTACCTTGATGATTCGGTCTAATATGCCTCGAGGTGTTATTTTTAATAACGATATTACTCCTGGGAGGCTGGGGTCTGGGAGGAAAAGAAGAAGGATGTTGATGAGTACCCGGTAGAAATTGTGGGTAAACATGATGGGACCACTGATGAAACAACGGTCGAGATCCGTTTTCTTTACAGCAGCGTGAAAAATTATACATAGTTCAAATTGTGTCTGTGTCTGCGTGTTATGTATGGGCTTTTCTTTTTCTTTTTTTTTTTAAACCCACGCGTAATATCGTAATAGTAAGCCGTGCCAGAAATAAATTTTATTTTTCAAAAAAAAAAACAATAAAAGTCGTCATTGAATCGAATTTACCTGAAGATGTAGATTCTTCGGCCGGCGGTATGGGTGGCGGACTAGGTTCGCCCCTGATCGAAACCGGTGGTTCTAAAATATCTCTGTATTTGGACACCATGAGAACGGTTATGAAATAAACAATGGCGAGAGATAAAAATTGTGCTTGCTTGGTTTCTTCCTGCAAAAAAAAAGAAAAATTTTTTTCTTTATCTCGCTATTATTATCATTATTATTACTAAAGAATGTGGGGGCGGTGCACGTACCATGTCGCGATATATGACCGCTCTGAGACGGTTAACGTCCATGTCTTGAAGTAATTTATCGGGGTCTTTAACTGGACTCGATTGCGTCGTCACGTTATCCACGAGATTTTTCGATGTCGTTTGAGCTCCCCGAATAAGAGAATGAATTTTGCTTTGAGAATCTAAGGGTGGTAAGGCAGAAAATTTTCTGATTCTTTCCTTGCATTCCAAACAATTTCTCACGGCGCATGTGCAAACCAATCTTAAACACTGTCTCAATATCCCGCCGCTCGACATGTTTTTCTCGGCTTCCAACTCTCCGAAATTAAGCGATGATGCAAATATGAGCATGTCGGCCATGCTCACGAGTCTTTGTAGAAACGAAACCGCGACTTCTATGGGCATTCCCTGCGTGGGTTCCATAACGTCGAGTTCGCTGTTGGGACTCGTTGCGCTCGCCAAGAGGGGCAACAATCCTCCGCATGCTATTATCAAATTATCCGCCAATTGCGATATCAAGTGAACGGTGTTCACAACAAATATGGCGTTTTCTCCGCTGTTGACGAATTCCAAAACGGATTTGGTCGAATGACTCCTCCAAACTTGTATATCCGTTTCTAATGAGAAAAGAACGTCGGAAAGCAAACGTTGATGAATGTACGACCATTTAAATTCGGGAATTCGAAACGGTGGCCTCGTCGGACCGGGTGAAAACATGTGACGCGATCCAGACTTTGAATAAGGCTCTGGAAACAAACAAACAAACAAACAATCTAACAAACAAAAAATTTAATGATTTTATATAATTACAAAATAAAAAAAATAAAAACTAACCAAATTGAGTTGGATCAACTTGAGTGCTCGTGCTCGAATTTAAATTTCTTTCACCGCCATCGTTAAAATCTCTTTCTTGAATATTTTCTTGAATTTTTTCTTCTTCTTCTTCTTTATTACATTCCTCGTAACCACCACCACCACTACCTCCTCCTCCACCATAATATCCACTTTTTATAATGACTTCATTTTCGGAAAAGTTAACATTTTCTTCGAAAGTGAGAGACGTCGTATCCGTAACACCGCTCGACATAAATTCACTTTTTCTCATTCCCTCCGGTTGTTGTGATTGTTGTTGTTGTTGTTCTCCTTTCGGCGAACCATTATGATTCGAACAATTATTTTCATTCAATGTTTCTTCTCCATTGGACGGCAAATCTGAATTTTTTTTTTCTGATAATTGCACTAAATTATCTATAACAGTGACGGCGCTGCTGTTATTTAAATTATTATTATTATTATTATTATTAATATTATTATTAACACTATATTCTACATTCGTATAACTATTGTTATTTATATTGTTATTGTTATTGTTATAATTATTATTATTATTATTATTATTATTATTATTATTATTAACGGTATTAGTCTTAATACTATTTGATTGCCCGGTGTCATTGATACTTTGAATTTGGACGTTTTCATTTATAAAATTATTGTAATTAATATTATTATTAATGGTATTTAAATTGGCACTTTCGCTTAATTTATTACTATCATCACTTTGACATTTAACATTGGAAATCTCTTCGTTATCGTCATTATCATCATCATCATCATCATCATGTTTTTCATTTCCGCTTTTCATTCCATTCGTTTCAATCGACTCGACAATTTTTCCTTTTTCTTCTTCTATTGTTTCTTTACAACAATTATTATCATTAATCGATGGACTAGATGGATTTTCTAAACCGTTTGAATTCATAGTTTCTTCTTTGACGTTTGTGCAATTTTCCGGTGTCGTTATTTTATCATTTTCCGGAGTCAATGTCGTGTCATCGGAATCGCAACAAAACGTTTCTGACACGTCTAAATCCGCAGGAACGGATTTGATCGAATTGCATTCGAAATTTTCCGTTATGTTTTGTATTATATCACTAATGACTTCTCGAACTATTTGCGAACTGTCATCCATTTCGATTATTTCCGTTTCCGTTTCATCATCGTCATTTCCTAATTTTACTTCGGGTAAAGAAACGTCCTCGGAATCATCATTCTTTGTTTCTTTCATTTCTTTTTCAACATCAACGGAATCGAGAAGTAACGGTTCTCTTTTAACTTCCGTATCCGTTTCTTTTTTATCATTTTCGTGAGTGTAATTGTTAGTTTTGAGGATATCAGAAGACAAATTTACATCTTTATCCTTTTCTATTTCGTTATCGTCGTCGTCGTCAGGAGTTTTAACGATTTTTTCCGAATTTGAATTTTTTTCGTTCGGAGAATTTTCGCGAAAAGATTTTCCGGTCGTTTTGTTTAAATTATCCGCGAACGATTCTTCCGCCGTTTCGAGTAAAGAAGGCTGCTGTGATTTTTCCACGTACGCGGAAGGTATCAAACCGTTTTCTGCATTCATTTCGCAATTGCATATTTCATTTCCTTTTGCCATCTTTAAAAAAAAAAAAAAAAAAAACTTTCCTAAATTTTCCTCGTTAACGCGACAATTTTTAATTTTTAAATAAAAATTTTCCAAACCTTATTTTCAGCATCGGGATTGTTACTCCATCCGGGTTGTTGAAAATTGTTACTTCCCTGAGCACTTTGTTGTTGATCCCAACCGGATATTGTGCTTATGGGTCTCTGTTGTCTAACGGCCGGATCGGTTATGTTATCCGACCTTTGCTTTTCGTAATGTTCGTACATTTGTGCAAATTGAAGTTTGAATTCTTCGTAGGATACCTGTCGGAAAACAAACATTTCATTAACATCCCCATTTTTCCCCCAATTTTTTTTTTTTACCCTTTTACCTTTGAATGAACGATGGCCAATGTATCGACCCAAACTCTCCATCCGCCGTATTCGTGTTTGATTGCGTGATGCAACAACAACCGAAACAACGAATAAACCATATCCGATATTTTTTGCTCTTCTGACGTTTTCGGATGAATGTAAGCCATTGCTATGAGCCATTCTTGCCAAACGGACATTTGCAAAACCGTTCTCCTGTTTTCACGATTGTTATTGCAAAGCAAAGTCATATCGGATAAGAATAATTTTTTCACTTCCAATAATTGCTCCGATTGTTTGGATTGACGAATCAACGTCGCGACAACTTTAAGAATCACTTTAAAAAAAAACAGACGTTCTCATTTTATTTCGGAAAAACTCATCATGAAAGTAAAAAAAAAATATATATTAAAAGAAAATTTATTCACTCGGATTTTCCAAACGAAAATGCGATTCCGGTTCACTGTGTCTCGTATATAAAATCTGTTGGCTTATGTGTTCGGTCATGATTTCGTAGAGAACGTTGTAAGTGGGCAAAGTTAAAACTTCATCGTTTACCAATAATTGCTCTGCTAGTAAAGTGTATAAATTGAACGGACTCATAACGTCGTACTTCCTTCTGAAATTTTTTTTAAAAAATTTAGAAGGGATTCATCGACTCGACCCACCCCCCCCCCTCAAAAAAAGGAAAACTAACTTATGAGTAGATCTGCTGAGGAAAAATCCCAAAAGTTTCAAAGCTTGCAATCGTATGAGTTGACTCTCGGAAGCTAAAAGTTTAAAAACCGTTCGAACTCCTTGTTTAGCATCAAAAGCAGGTACCATGGCAGCCGGATGTTCCGACATCAACGAGATCAACATTTGCAGGACGTCGTGTAAATTTTCATCCTGCGAAAAAAAATGATGACGTCATTATGACGATCACTTATGACCGTTATTTTTATTTTTTTGAATATGAATCCAACTCACTTCGTGCATCGTAGTTAAATAATTTAAAATACTTTGTAATTCGTCATCTTTGACACCGTTGCCAAGCATGACTAATTGTTTTAAAAACAATAAAATATAAGCTCGAATAGCGAGAATGTCTTTTTGAGGAGGTCTGGGACCATCTGAAAGAACAACAACAACAACAACAATTACCGTAATAATCATAATAATAATAATAATAATAATTATTCATTTGAAAAGATATAGGTGTCGCATTACCCAGACCCTTGGGAGTGATTCCGCTTTTGGCTCTGGGATTAACAACCCAATAGTAATACTTTAGCGTGTGAACCGTTTGTAATACTGTCGATACTCTTCGAACGTTTGAATAAATTTGCGTGTCCGCTAAGAATTCGGTTGCCAAATAAGAATACAGCCTTGTTTGGACGGGTGCCGGGGTGTATATCCACAGTGCGGGATTAAATAAAACATGATCTAATAACTGCCACGTTAAAAATGAAAAACAAAATAACTGACATTAACATTAGACTTCTGTTCTTGTACAAAAATTTCAAATTGTAATATTTTCCTTTTATTAGTGGGAAAACAAACAAACACAAACAAAAGGAAATCTTTTAGATCGGATACCTGTTTGAGTAAGAGTTCGTTATTGGAACTCAAACAAGTCACAAGATATTTCGTCAAGTTGAGGAAAGAATCTAAAACTTCGATTGTTAAATGCTGTCGCGAAGAACGTTGCAACATGTAACTGATAACTAAGAAACCTCTGTTTTGAATCATGTGCTGTTGAACTGTGTGTGAACTTTCAACTAATTCGCATATAAATCCTAACAATTTAAAGCTATAATGATAATAATAATAATTAATCGTTGATGTCCTTTAAAATAATAATAATAATAATAATAATAAGAGTGTAAAACCATTACCAAAGTGACGAATCGCGTTTGGAATCGTATGGGAGATCAAGTTGCGAAAATAATGGAAACAATACTTGAATGCCACCGATAGAATTGAGCGTGCTGTGGATGGAATGGGTAATTATGGCTTTCACGTCCTAAAAAATTTAATTAAATCATCATTTACATCATCATCATCATCATCATCATCGTAAAAAAAAATTATATTTTCTTCTGAACTCACTTGAAGCATGAGAGCGTGAGGTGTATGTACAAAATAAGACACATTTCCTTTTGGAGCTGCTTGCAAGCACAATTGACCATCCGTTGCGACCGGATTGTACATGAAAACAATGGCCGACGATAATTTTCCATCGTATAATACCTAAAGTGATAAATTACGAAATAAAAAACAAATTCGTTCATCTGTCATCAAACAAAAAAAAAAAAAAAAACTACGTCTTAAATCTACAAAACTACAACAAAAACAAAAACAAACAATAATCGAATTCATTGTGAATCGTGTTGCGAATGCAATAAAAATAAAAACAATTCAAAAAAGGCGCCAAATTTAAAAAAAAATGAATGGAAAAACGTGCGTGCAATCAGTCATTTATCATCATTATTATTATTATTTTAAGAAATTACCTTACCTTACGCGCACCGTGAATGATATCCCGATAATAAGATAGATATTGATTTATTACCCCCCCCCCGGTAATAAATAATTTTTTTTTATCATTTAAATTGATAAGAATTCTAGTTCGACAAAATCCAGTAATAAAAAAAATCCTATTATTATTATTATTATTAGTATTAATTTTAAAAATAAAATCGATCGGAAAAAAAATCAATTAGTGATTAAAACATTGGAGACTTTTTCCCCTTCCCTTTCCCTTCCCCACCCCTAACACGTGAATATTAATAATAATAATAATAATAATAATAATAATAATAATAATAATAATAATAATAATAATAATAATAATAATAATCGATTCCATTCGAAAAACAAAGTGACATTAGTGGCTTCCGGCCAAAAAAAAGAAAAAAAAAGTAATTATTTTATCCAGACGATTAAATTTTTTCCATAAAATCCAACGCAAAATCATGGCTACCAAGCAAAATAATAATATTAATAATAATAATAATAATAAATGTCAGAAATATATATAGTCCAAACAATGGTACGGTTTTTCTATAGATAAAAACAAACAAACAAACAATAATAATAATCATAATTACGAAACAAACTCTTCTTCCATCATGTGATCAAATTCATTTATAAATTTAAAAACAAAAAATTTAATAGATTGGTGCCACGACGACGTGGCAGGAAAACGTGTAAAAAAAAAAAAAAAAGAAAAAAAAATGGCATGCTCACACTTTTTGAAGCTTCATCTAAAACAACAAGCGGGCACAACAATGCATTTCGTAGTTCGGGATTTTCAAGCTCTCCTACTGTCGTATACGGACTCATAAGAAGATCCCCACTCACCCTTTTGTGATTATCGGGAAGGCTTAAAGTGCACTCGTTGTCGAAACGGAATTGGCTCTGAACGACGACGACGACGACGACGACGTTTGTTTTTCCCAACGCGAGCGGGTAAAAAAAAAAAATCATCATCATCATCATCATTATTATCATTTTTTTTGTTGATGATATTTAATATTATATAAATATTTGTTATTAATAATATTTATCAAATTCAATAATTTTATTGAAAAAAAGTGGTTTTAAATAACAAAAATCGAATTCGGAGGGACAGGGGAAGGGAGGGGAGGGGCAACATCCCGGAAAAAATAAAAAGGGAAAGGAGGAGGAGGAGGAGAAAGAGGGAGAAACAATTTTATTTGTTCGTTTCGGAGAGAGTAATTATTACATCGTATACAAGTCGAAGTAACAAAGTTCATCAATCAAACAAAAAACAAACGACAAATGGGAAGGGAGAATGGGAGATTTCCACCCCCTATTGTTTTCCCTCCCTTCCCCCTCCACCTCCCCACCGATTCGTTTTTCGAACGATGATGAAAACGTCAATTTTCAAAAAAAAAAAAAAAAAAAAAAGTTTTTTTTTTACGAGTATATCGTTTTCTGAATGAACATAATTAATTTTATTACCGTAAAAACATTTACATGAGATTTTTTTATTTTCGATCGGATTTCAAAAAAAAAAAATTTGCCCTTTTCTTCCGCCATCTTTTTTTTTTTTTTTTTTATTAAAAAAGATTAATTAAAGGCCATTCAAAAAAATATTTTTTTCTTTCCCCACCCCCCGTTCGTCACGTTTTCAAGTTCGAAAAAAGAAAAAAAGATTTTTTTTTTTCTTGTAATTCTAAATGAAAAAAAAAAAAAAAAAAAAAAAAACCGGAAATAATAATAAAAGTAACAAACTTTGTATCCCGGACCGAGGCGATGCATGGCGCAGATTTGCTGCGTGTTGAGAGCCTCGGAAAAAAGATAAATTGCCGCCATTTGACCGCAGAAAACTCTTTCTTCGTCCAATTCTGGCGTTGCTCCGATGTAACATTTGTCGTAGGGCTACGAAAAAATAAAAACGAGTTAATAAATCACGAGTAATTTTTCTCCTCTTTCTGCCCCTACCCCCCTTTCTCTCTTCCCCCACGAGTATTAATAATAATAATAATAATAATAATTAAGTAATAATTTGTTTCATGATTATTATTTTCCTTTGGGAAATTTATCTAAAAAATATTTATATATATATTTACGAGAGAGAGAGAATTAATGTGTGAATTTATACCTTTTCGCATATAAATCAAATGGGAGTGGGGGGGTCCAGAGAGAGAGGCCCTCCCTCTCTCTGGTGCGGGAGGAGGGGGTTTAATGAAAAATTTTTTCCTTTTTGACTTACGTCGTTCGTCGATACGAACCAAACCATTTCCGTACTCGATGCTAGCTGACCGTTGACGAGACATTTTATTTCGCTTTTCGTCCATCTGTTGTATATGTAAACGACGGCTATCATGTACCACTGTGAAAAAAATGAATGAATGATTAAAAGTTTGCTGCTGATGCTGTATCAATTTAAGATAGGTGTGGACAAGCACTCGCATTCGCACACGCACACACGCACACGTAAATCGATAAAGTACAATAAAAACCGTTAAAATAAGAAGGAGGAAGACAAAAGCGGTGGCGTAACATGGCAGAGAATATACATATATAAAAAAAGTAAGTTTATAATTAAAAAGGGACTTAATTAAAGGATTTTAACAAAAGGGTTTAATTAAAGGCACGCACACGCACGCACGCACACACATACAACATAAACCTTTACCAACTTTTATACGGTGAATTTTACGGTTTAAACACATCACGAGGAGAGAGAAAAAAGGAAAAAAAGAAAGAATGAAAATGGATGATGATGATGATGGCTTCGAATGAATTTTTTTCAAAACTTTTTCCGTCAATGAACGAACGAACGAACGAATGAAAGAAAGGAAAAAGAGGAGGGAAAAAGAGAAGGAGGAAAAGAGAAGGAACATAATTTTATTTTGTTTTTTTTTTTTTTGAAAAACTTACTTTCCTAGGTTGAAATTCATATTTGACGCAATGTTGAAAACCTTTTCCTTTGACTTTCATTGATGTTAAAACAAGACAATTTCCAACGAAATGAGCTGAATAACCGACTCCTTTACTCGTTTTGAAACTGTAAAATCAATGATGATAAAATGAAATGAGTTTATCGAGAGAGAGAGAGAGAAAGAGAGAGAAAAAGAAAATCAAAATGGATTAAAAAAAAAAAAAATTAAATTCTTTAAAAAGAGTATCAAAAACATTTTTTTTTTTTTTTTTTTGGGAGAAAATTTTCATTTTCAAAAGAAGAAAATTTTGATGAACGCGGCGGCTAACCAGACGCAATCAAAAAACTTTTTTAATTTTAATGAAAAGATTTAACTCGTAAGATAGACAGAGATAGAGAGAGAAAGAGAGAAAGAGAGAGAGAGAGAGAGAGAGAGAGAGAGAGAGAAACGGAAAATTTTTCATTTTTGTCGCCGGATACAACATTACAAAATTACCATATTGTTATCATCATATTCTTCTTATCGTTTTCATTGTGATACGTCACAATAATAATAATAATAATGCTAAAATTTTCACGACCTTAAATTTTCTTTTTTTTTTTTTTAATCACGTGACCGGGAAAATCGAAAACCGTTAAATATTATTAAAAAAAAAAAAAAAGAAAAAATTAAAAGAAAAAGAAAAAAAAATTCAAAAACTTAATTTTCTTTCTATCTTTCTTTTCATTTCTCTTCCTCTCTCTCTTTTTCAGTCTCTCCGTCTTCTGCTTTAAATTTCTAATAAAATTATGCGTGAAAGACGACAAAAAAGATAGATAGATAGATAGATGGATAGATGGAAGATAGAAAGGAAAGTTAAAATTAAATTAAAAATTAAAATATTATTAAATTTAAATAATTTTTTCTTTAACAAATCGACTTATTATTATTAAGACGATTCGAATAATAATAATAATAATAATAATAATAATAATAATAATAATAATAATAATAATAATGTTAAAATCATTCGGGTCAAGATTTTCTTTCGTTTTTTCAGTAAAAAAAAAAAAAAAAAAACAAAACAAACAAGATTAGCGATTCTTTTTAAAAAACGATTTTTTCAGTTCAACAAACATTTATAATGAGAATTTTGTTGTTGAAGTTTTCTCGTCTTTTGTTTTTATTCCTCCAGTTGTTGTTGTTGTTTGTTGTTGTTGTTGTTGTTTTAAAAGTCACGGCTCATTCTATTGTAATGGAAAATACTTTTTCAAAAATGAAAATATTCGGCCTTTTTATAATAATAATAATAATAATAATAATAATAATAATAATAATAATAATAATAATAATAATAATAATAATAATAAAGAGTCTGAAAAATTTCCTCCTTAAAGCAATCGAAAAACGTGTTTTTTCTTTTTCTTTTTCTTTTTCTTTTCTTTTCTTTTCTTCCTTTTTTTGTTTTAATGAAAATAATTTTCCAGTCGTGAAAATTCAAGTATGAAAAAAATTTTCTTTCTTTTTTTTCTCTTTTTTCGGAGAAAACTTTTTTTTTTCCCCCCAATTTATGACGTAATCGTATCGATTTCGAATTCGTTTTACAAATTTTTATTTATATTAATAATAATTATGTAAATTTTTGTCGTTGTCTTGTTATTATTATTATTATTATTATTAATAAATCGATTAATAAATATCGATTCGATTGATCGATCGATTTTTATTTACAAGAAAAAAAAATTGGAAAATTCGATTAAGAAAAAAGATTGTTTACGATTTACGTTTGAGATTTTTTTCATATGACGTAACCGTTATCACGTAATCGTTATCATCGCATGTTTTTATTCTTTTCTCTCTCTCTCTCTCTCTCTCTCTATCCTTTTCTCCCTTTAACCCACGTAAGTCGCAAAAAAAAGAAAAAAAATTTAAAAAAAAAAAACTCGTAGAAAAAATTTTGAAAAAAAAAAATTTAATATTACATGAAGAATTTTTTTTTCTTTTTTTTTTTTTTTTTCTGTTTAAGCAACGTTTGCTGGAATTTCGGACTCCCTCCTCTCCCCTTCCCCCCCCCCAAAAAAAACGAAGAAAAAAAAGAAAAATGTTACAAAGATACGAATTTTTTTTTTTTTTTTTTTTTATTATCCGAGTTTTGCAAAAAAAATTTCATTTTTGCGTTTTAATCATTTTTTTTTCTTCCCCTCCCCCCCGTAAAAAAAATCGATATTGAAAAAAGGAAAAAAAACGTTTTTTTTATATTTATTTATTTACTTACTTTCGTTTGGAAAAGAAAAAAAAACGTGTCAATAGAACGATTTCGTTTTTACATTATAAAAAACAAAATTTACGTTCATACGTTTAAATACGTAAAATGTTTCTCTCTTTCTCTCTCTCTCTCTCTCTTGTTCGTTGTATTAAATAAATTATTATTTATTAAAATATCAGTTGGGGAGGGGTGGGGGGTAATTATAACATACGTAAGGTTCTGGAATCGAAAACATTCCAGAGGGAAAAAATAGAACAAAAAAAAAAGAAAAAATTCTCACCAATACAAATAAGGTTTTTCTCTTTCGATGTTAACCGAATTGATCGGATCGAGCCTGAACCAGGTAGTGAAAGTAAAACCGTTTTCGTATGGCCACCTAGCCAGTGGTGGCAGCACAATCGCCGATCCTTTCCTTCCCGGAAAACTGAAAAAAACATCCGGTCCGTTCCTGTGCGGCATTTGACGTAAAACGTTTAAAAGTTTTGCAGAGTGACGAGGCTGTAAAAAAAAAAAAACAACATACTTTATCATCATTATCATAATCGTGAAAAGAGGGAGAGGGGGGAAAAGGAAAACCTACAACCTTCTCAAATTCAATTTATGATGATGATGATAATAATAATAATTCGAATTTGCCGGGATGTGAAATTTAAATATATATAAACGCGGCGATGATAATACACGACGTTGTGTATAAAATATCGATTTTACTTCTAGCAGACGGTTTTTCAACATACTGGCGCCAAATGCTCCATTCGAAATTCATGGACTTTTCCTCACACAAACACACATCCGTGATAATAATAATAATAATTTTTCTTCTCGAATTTTCTATCGATCCATCGATACAAACGAAAAAGACTCACATTTTTAATTCTGCGTAAATAATTTTTACAAGGAAAAAAAATGACAAAGGAAATAAATAAAAGGTCTGTCATCTCTCTCTCTCTCTCTCTTTCTCTTTCTCTCGTTTTAAAAAAACTCACCCATTTTCCATTGTGAGCTTTCATAGCTCCGAAAAGTAATTTCAATTCTTTAACCGTTATGCTGTAGCTTGCGAGTACTCCCAACATTTCGATTAGCAAATCTGTTAAAAGAAAAAGAAAAAAAAATTTATATTTTAAATTTTAAATTTTCCCGCGCAAATTTTCTAATACGGAAAAGGCATTAGTGATAATAGTGATGATGATGATAATGATAATAATAATAAATCCAAAAAGAAGAAAAAGTCTCTTAATAATAATAATTGTTGTTGTTGTTTTAATCGTTTTTCAAACCAGGAAAAACACTTTGAATTAGTTTTTAAATCTTACAAGAAATTATTAATAAATAATTATTATTATTATCATCATCATTATTATTATTAAAATTTTATACGAGAAAAATATAAATGGAGAGGAAAAAATGGAAGGAAAATGGAAGGAAAATGGAAAAAGAAAATATGTATCAAAATTTCAAATTAAATTTTAAAATCAAATCCTGGGAAAAAGCTTAAAAATAATAAGATTTGTTGCCAGAAAAAAAAAAAAAAAAAAAAAATTCACATCGATCGATTTCTAAATATCGCCAAAGGAAATAAACGAATAAGCAATTTTTTTCCCCTTTTTTTTCTTCCTTTTTTTTCCATTTTTATTTATTTTTTTCCTTTTTGGCCACGTTTTTTTTTTTATTTTTTTTTTATTAATTCTTCGAAACGGAAGGCAAGAGCATTAAGGGAAAAGGGTAGGTAGTCGCCGTCGCCGCCGCTTATTGAGAGCTAAAAACGGGGCAGCAGTAAAAAAAAAAAAAATAAAAAAAACGCGGCGGGTCGATAAGAGTGAGAGAGAAAGAGAAAGAAAGAGAGAGATTATCGCTAAATAAAAAAAAAAAAAAATAAATTCATAAATGAGGTTTAAAAAAAAAAAAAAAAAAAAAAAAAAAAAAAAAAAAAACCTCAAATATTTTTGTGATATTATTCTCGTGCCCCGACTTTTTTTATTTTTTATTTTTTAAATTTTTTATTTTGAGTAAATAAACGAAAACGTTTTTAAAAAAAAAAAAAAAAAAAAAAAAAAAAAACGAGGAGGAAAATTGAACGCATTAAAAAAAAAAAACGCTTTGAGCTTTCTGCTTAGACCCCCACCTCCCTCCCTTTCTCTCTATCTCTCCCTTTCACTTTATCTTTCTCTCTCTCTCTTTTTCGTGAAAATCGATGACAAATAAAAGAAAAAAATAAAAATAAAAATAAGTATACATAAATACATGCGTGTGAATGAGCGTTTCTTTTTTTTTGTGCGTGCGTACTCGTGTGCGTAAATAACGCAACTCAAACTTTAATAAATAATAATAATAATAATAATAATAATAATAATAATAATAATGATTATTTATTTGCGATTAAAAAAAAAATTAAATAGAAATGTTTGCTGCGTTACGAAGAAATAAACGTGGGTTATAACTACGACCGTTTCTCTCCTCCCTTCTCCCTCCTCCCTCTCCCTTACGCGTTAATTATAAATAACGTTAATAATGATGATAATAATAATGATATTTCTCATTGAATTTATCTTCATTTTTTTTATTTAAACTCGAATTTATTTCTTCGTGAAGTAAAAAGTAAGAAGAAAAAGAAAAAAAGAAAAAAAGTTGTTGATAATATTTTGTCTTTTTTTTTCTTTCCAGTTTCACTTTTTAACGAGAAAACTTTTTTTTCCCCATGATTATAAAAAAAAAAAAAAAGAAAAAAGGAAGGGAAAAAAAGGAAGGAAAAAATAATTTTTTTTTTTCCTTTTTTTTTCGTCTGCTATTACCTATAAGACTCAATTATAAAGATTTTTTTTTTTTTTGATCACTTAATTTATATTATTCTCTCTCTCTCTCTTTTTAATATTGACAAATTACGTATCGAACGAGTACGAAAAAAAAAGGAAAAAAATTCCTTTGAAATACGAAAAAAGAAAAAAAGGAAAAACTCTCAACCTTTTTTTTCTTTCCTTTTAATAAATAAATAAATAAACGAATGAGATTTTCGTACGAAATTTCTTTTTTGCGATTTGACTGCGGTGACGACGTAGCAGACGGTAAAAAATTTTTTAATGACGTCATCGCATTTTCTCGTCATTTAAAAAAAAAAAAAAAAAAAAAAAAAAAAACTTAAAATTATAAATTTCTCTTTCTCGTTCCGAGTCGGCGGTGGAGAAGAAAAACAAAAAACAAAGAAAATGCAAAAAACGTCGTCGTATTAGAAAATTTTTAAAGAAAAGAAAATGGAAAGAAAATACGATTCAGACGATCGTTTTGAAAAATGTCGACGGCGCCGAGTTTTTCATTACGAAACTTTAAACTTGAAATAACAATAATAATAATAATAATAATAATAATAATAATATTTCAACTTTATAAAAAAAACAGACAAAAGTAAAGACGACTTTTCAAAGTCTTCTGATCAATTTTATTTAAATTCAACATCTGGAACGACCTTAAAGGGGATTCAAAATATAAAAAAAATACGACAAAGAAAAAAGAGAAAGAGAGAGAGTGAGAGAGAGAGAGAGAGAGAGAGAGAGAGAGAGAGAGTAAACATTCGTAATATTTAAAATCCGGTTAAAATTAAAAAAAAAACGGAAACGGAAACGAAATCCGAATAACGCCTAAAAAAAAAAAAATTAAATTTGTAAATTAATTAAACAGGGGAGAGGAGAGGAGAGGAAAGAAAAAAAGAAGAAAAGAATCGAGTTAATTATCCGATAATAAAATTATTTTAAATTTTTTTTTTTTTTGAACGAAAAAAAAAAAAAACAAAAATGGCGGAAAAAGAAAAATAAGCAAGGGAGAGAGAAAGAGAGAAAAAAAATTACAAAATGTTTCTGATGGGTACCTTAATGTAATTGAAAAATTTTCCCTCCTTTTTTTTTTTTAAATAAATTTACCCTCGGGGGAAAAGAAAAAAAGTGTCAAAATAAAAAAAAAACATTTTTTTGAAATCTTAAAAATTTTATTAACGACAACAAACAAACAAACAAACAGACAGATAAAAAATAAAAAAAATAAAAGATTAGAAAACTTGGGGGGGGGAAGGAAATATAAAATCATGTAAAAAAAAATTCATTTCTACATTCGAAAATGTTTTTTTTTTTTTTTTTTTTTTCACCAACAAAAATAAAACCGTGCCTTAATCATCATCATCATCATCACCAAATGGCAACGTTGCTATTTTTTTTCGCGGGTAAATTTGTACATTACGTTTCGGGAAAATTTTTTTTCTAATTTTCACGTCACGTAGCAAACGATAAAAATAAAATAAAAAAAAAACGCAATCGGGAAAAAAGTAGAAAATTTTGTAAAAAAGGCGGGAGGAAAGGGAAGCAAAGAAAACCGGAAATAGTAAGAAAAACAAAATTTACCACGAGCTGTTGATGAAAATCAACAAAATCCACGTTTTTTTTTTTTTCTCTCCCAACCATTTCATTTTTACATTTCGATTTTATTAAAAGTTAAACTCCCACTTTTCCTCTCCTTTCCTTAATCTCCTCCCCTCCTCCGTCTCCTCCCTCCTCTTTCAACCTTTTCGAAAAACTTTTTTTTTTTTTTATTAATATCATAAAGATTTCTGAATAATAATAATAACGTCCGTTTTTATTCTTTTTTAACTTTTTTCATGACTTATTCATAAATCCATTGAAATTTTTTTCCTTTTTTTTTTTTTTTACGTAAAAAGTAAAAATTAATAATAATAATTAATTTTAATTTTTTTAATAAAAAAAAAAATTTTACTCTATAATTTTCAAAGGAGAAACTGTAAAGGGAGGAGGGAGGGAAGGTGGGAAAGAGGGAGGAAAAAGGTAAGAAAAAAAAAACCTGAAGAAAAAATCAGAAGAAGAAAGAACATTCGGGGGAAAAAAAAAGTAGAAAAAGTTTTAATTTGAAAAATAATAAATATTTGTTCAAACCTTCAAGGTAATCTTAAAATCGATTTTCTCCCCTCCCCTCCCCTCCCTACCACCTACTCCTCTTCCCCCTTCCTGTTTTTGTTGTCTCTCCGTGAAAAATTTCTCCAGGCAAACCTTTTTTTTTTTTATTAAGACCGTAAATGAAATTTATTTTATAAACTCTCAATGATAAAGTTCTTTTTAAAAAAAAACAAAAAATTCGTTGCTGACGTAATAAAAAATTATTGCCACGTTAAAAATATTTAAATTTCATACATAATAATAATAATAATCATTATTAGTATTATTTCGGGAAAAATTTTTGTTTAGTTGTAGGAAATTGTTGATTTTTATCCCGATCTGAAAAAAAATTCGGGAAATTCTCGAGTTTGTTTGTTTTTTTTCACTCTCGAACACGCTTTCTCTGTATATTCGCGTGTGTGTGTGGGTGTGTCAGAACAGTGTTGCCAAACTGTTTTATGCATTTCACTAATGCCACTTTTCCTTACGATTGACAAAACCGCTTCCCGCCCTTCCCTCGTCCCGCATCAATTTTATCGCCTCTGTCTAGAACCATCAGTTTAATTCGGGGTGTTAATAGTTGACGTTTCTTGATGTGGGTGTGTGCGGGTGTGAATCAATCAATGACTCGAAACGTCCGATAAGTTAATATCCCACGTCCGCGTAAAAATCCCCAGTTTTTTTTTTTTTTTTTAAATTTCCTTCGGGAACTTTTCCGTCGTCTGTGAGTATTTTTAATATTGACCCATGGGATTTTTGGTTCTTTCCTGATATCGGACGTTCGATTCCTTTTCTCTCTTTTTTTTTTAATAATTTTTTCCCCATTTTGTTTTTTTTTTTTGCGCATGCGCAACGCAGATAAAGTTTAATATAAAAGTGTCATTAACGGTCGGTTGCGTCCTTGTTTTTCTTTTTTTTTTTTCTCTGCAAACTTTTCACGAATTTTTCTTCGATTTGCAAATGAATAAAACATGAAAAATACTTTTTTCACCCCCCCACCACCACCACCACCATCGTCACCATCCATCGCCTTTTGTTTTCGGCATGCAACATTTTAAAAGTCCTTTTTTTTTAATTTTCTTCCATCGTATCTTTTTTTTTTCCACACAGCTGACATTCGAACAGATGCCGTTTTACTTCCGTCG